TATATATATATAAAAATAATCTGTGTAATCTATTTTGGATTTTGAGTTCTGCTTTTAAAAAGTCATGACTATTCAAAAATAGAGTACATATTTTTGTTTCAAACTTTCTCTTTTTCTTTTTAATTTTATTCTTTATTTATTAATAGATTCTAATTCAAGTCCTTGCCATATATGAATAAGTACAAGACCCGTTTGAACATAAAAATTATTCACTTTATTTTTAAAAATTGTTTTTTTCCATAATGATTATTCACTTTATTTTGGAAATTAGTGTTTTTCTATAAAATTCCAAATCCATTATGGAAAAAAACTTATGACATATTTTCGACTCACTTTTGACTATCCAGAAGTGGACAACTATGAAAAAACTCAGAAACTCACGTTTTTCCATAATAAAAAATCATTTGAAAGCGTGACTATTGAGGCAATACAAATAGAGTACATGTTTTCTTTGATTCCACCACTCCGGAATTATTCATAAATTCTAATTTTAGTCCTTCCGATCTATGAATAAATATACTAATACGGATTTTTTTGAAGGAAAAAATTACAAGTCTAAGAAAGATTTGTTTCAAGTTTCACATGTCACAAAACTATATTATGAATAGGTAAATCAGAAAATTATGTTTTGTATTATTAAAATCTCTTAATTAACCCGAAAAGAATTGCGGTTACTCCAATTCATTGTGTTGTGCTCTCATGAATTGAACTTCGTTGTCTTTTGACACACGAAGCAAATAGGCAATGTATTGGGTCTGTTTCAAGGTGGGAAACGTCTCTTGAATAACTCATTGAAAAGTTAGAATTTTGGTTTTCAAAATGATACATGAGTGCCACGTCTTTAACTAAAAAAATCGGCTTCTTGACCATATTTTAAAACTAAAATAACATTAAAAATAAAAATATCTTGCTATCGGAACTGATATTTCGCATAAAATATTTCTAGTTTTTTAAGCGTATTAAATTATGATGTCACTTTAAGTGTCGTAACTATGACTTTCCGATTAATTGTATTTTTTTAAGAAATTATCACATAGTTATGGATCAAACGTGTAAATACAAGCCACTTTATTAATTGACTAGATCTAAGACGCAAAATTACAATCTTAGTTAAGACAAAAGATTATGAACCTGAGATTTGCCTACTAACCCCAAAATTATCTAGCATACGTAATAACCTTACGCGTGTTCTAGTGATTCGATTAATAAAGTAAGTAGAACAATAAAATTAACCCCACTACCCCTTCTATTAATTTGTTTCTAATCACTTTCAATACCATCTAATCATTCATTCACATTAGCTTAACAAATCAATCTGGACAACACAAATTTCAGCCAAAAAATCAATGAAAACAGGATATCAATATTGCTCACTAAGATACCATCATCATAAAGATATTACCACTAGCATAAGATATCTAAAGCATTAAACGAGATGGAAAAAGAATTAGACCTTGATAGTAAATTCCTTTATTATGGAATGCTAGACCGGGAGCTAGAGACGGAACCTCAAATAAAATCTTTTTTTTTCAATAGCGGGAAAGAGAAATGGGAGAGAGGATTACAATGCAGGGAATTGAACCTTGTTGGTGGAGTTCAGATAGCCAACCAACAAAGCTACTGTCGGAACTTTGAGCCTTTCTCTCCCATTCTACCAATGTGTCTGCGTGAGTATATATAATGAATAGAGTGTATTGAATTGAAAGGGTAAGCAAGCAAAACGTGAGTGTGTGTAATGGCGTGTCTTTCAATATGTATTGTTATTTTGCGTGTTGGAGTGTGTGTATAGTCCAGGTGGTGAGCATGGCAACAACGTGAGTTCATTAGAAGGAATCTTGTGAAGGTGGCAATGTCTCATTGGTTTATATTTTATTTTATTTTTTGAAAAAGTCATTAAGAAATACCAAAAATAAAGAAAATAGGCATAATACATAAATTTTCTCATTAACTTGGGTTTGTCTCGCATTTATGTCCATCAACTTTGGATGTATACCAGTAGACACTTAAACTTTATAGAGTTGAACAAGTAGACACACACGTCCTACTTGATGTCCTCATGCCATGTATGATGTGTGTGTCTACTTGTTCAATTTTATACAAACTCAAGTGTTTATTTGTAAACACCCAAAGTTGGACAGTATAAATGCGATCTGAGGCAAAGGAATGAGGTATTCCAAAGTGTATTCAATCCATCAACTCCTTCAGAAGGAATTGAAGAAGTTGAACAAGTAGACACACACGTTCTACTTGATGTCTTACACGTATCATGTCATGTAGGGCGTGTGTGTCTACTTGTTCAACTTTATACAAACTCAAGTGTCTATTTCTAAACACCCAAAGTTGGAGAGTATAAATGCGAACTGAGGCCAAGGAATGAGGTACTCCAAAGTGTATTCAATCCATCAACTCCTTCAGAGGAATTTCAGAAGTTGAACAAGTAGACACACTGTCCTACGCGTATCATGTCATGTACGTAGGATGTGTGTGTCTACTTATTCAACTTTATGAAGAAGCTTGAATCTATGAATATATTTTTATGAAATCATGCATACTTTAATGAAATCAATGTGTGTGTGACTTAAGTAAGCTTATAGATGAAGGTATCTATATGTTCTATGAAGCTTGGCCACTGAGATGAATGACATCTAGAACTACCCTCAATGTTTTTGAGCTATATTTCTAGATTAGGTCTTGATTAGTATGGTATCCGAATATGCCATCAATGATTATAGATCACGTTTTAAAAATTATTTCTATAAGTAGTAGGGCATTTCTAGCATGAAGTTAATGACTATGGGACTTATAAAGCTACTATGAAAAGATCATGGATATTGAAAGGTTTTCTCACACATGGTGTGTAAGGAGCTACTCTATAATGTCTCTAACTTGGATTAGTATCGTAATTGTACTTTTCCATGGATGATAAAATGAATATGATCAAATGACTATTTCGTGGTATTTACACTTAGCACCGAGTGGACTAGCGGCGATTACCCATGTCCCATAACTATGTGCCACCACAGGATTGTCTTAAATGACCTAGCTAGCGGATCCACTTTTGCAAAAGATGATGCGTACAGATTCTACCTTAGTAAGTAGTTTCCCCTTCTTTCAGTATTGAGGGATATACCATATTCCATGTTATAGCTCACATGGTCTATGTCAGTTAATGGTAAACATCCCACAAAACAAACTAAGTTAATTACTGATGTTTTATGAAGCTTCATTTATGATTTAAAGATGCATTGACCATGTTCATGATTTATGAATCTTCTTTAATGATTTTACTATGTTTTAACTTGGTCATGCATTCCATATTTTTTATTATGTCCCCTTTATGATCACGTCGCATGTTTAATTGCATTTCCCTCATACTTAGTACATTCCACGTACTAATGCATACTTGTGACTACATTGTTTCACTAATGTAGGGCATGACGACTCTTCTCCTTCCGTTTGTGGCTAGTTGATTGTATTAGAGACTTGAAGACTTGGTGAATCCTCTTACTTCGAGGACGATGTCACTCTTCTATGTTTTTTTTCTTTATTACTGTTTTCAAACTTTTTATGTGATGTATGGGTTACATCCCAATCACTTCTTTTGATGTAATAGATGGCTAGTTGGGACTATGTTAGACTTCCGTTTTTGTCAAACTCTTTATGTTATAAAACTATCTATTTGAAACTCTTTATTTCTATTATCTTGTATTATGCATGCTAAGTGGCTTGTGTAGGACCTTTCGAGGTTTTATACGTCATGTCACGTCTAGGGTGTACTTTGGGTCGTGACATAATTCGATATGAATCTCTCGTGTTTATAATTTTTCTCTTGTTAGTTGAATTATTTCCTTCTCAACCTAAATTAAATGAAGAAAATCATTAGTTAAGGAAAAGAACATGGTCGTCTCAACAAGTTTGGGGGCCTAAAACCAAACATTATAAAAAAGATGCCCTATTTTTTTAGTTGATAAATATAAATTGAATAATTATAATATACTAGTGTAATCCTACAAATGAGGTCTGGAGAGGCAGGATATATGTAGACATTATAAAGTAAGAATGCAAATAATGTAAATCTTCAATGAAAATTATATAATATAAAGTTGGAATAATAAAACATGACTCAAAATTTTAAAAATATGATGATATTAAAATAGTGTAGCGATGAATTTGATAAGTTAATAAATAATATTAAAATAGTGTTGATTAGTTTTAGTACTTGAAATTTGAATAAGACACCAAAAACAAATTTAGTCTTTTTATAAACACACAACAATAGATATCACATAATGTAGAATGTTTGAGAGACTTAAGAATATTCAATAATGAAAAGTAAGTATAAGAACACAATATTGTTGGTTCGTGATAATCGTCAAAATATAAATGAGCTAGACAACAAAATAGATAGCCACATGCGAAATTAGAAAGGATACTACAATTAACTAGCCACATGAGAATCTAGAAAAGACACTACAATCAACTAAACAATATTCAATTTCTCAATTATATTTTCTATACAAAAAATTATTTTCAAATTTATCAGTACATGAAATATTTTTAACAATATATATACACACATCTTTGAGAGAAAATAGGGGCCCAAAAAAATTAAGTCCCCAAGCGATTGTTTTATTGGCCTTATGGTCGAGACGGCCCGAAAAAAGAAGAAAATGGCTAACAAAATGCTACAAAACTCAAAAAAGTGTCAGTACGGATCCAAGAAAATTCTATGTTTTTTCAAAGCTTGAACGAAATTTTTAATTATCACACCCTTTGTGTTTATGTCGTCAGATTTTTCCAACTAAAGGGAATGAATAAGGATTAGTTTATTTACAAGAATAGAGTCACCTCTTTAAATCCCTAATCAAAAGAAAATGATTATTTAATTGGTCTGTGAAAATAAAAAATTGGGTAAGGAATTATGTTGACTATGAGATACCCATGAGTCTCATGGCTTTAACATAATCATTTTTTATCAACTTATACTTAACTTAAATCAATCTTCGATAAATTGTTTGTCTATGTTCCGCTTAAAGATTGACTTTTATAACTAAAACGCCTAGTGACGACCTCAACCTCGACATATACCAATTAAGACGCATAAGTGCAACCTCGATTTGTGTATCATACCTAAAGACTAAGTCTACTCCTTTAATGAATAAAAATTACTCTATTGTTTTTCAAAAAAGTTTTTGGGTCAAAACACATCACCATTTTATTAATGAACCCATATACGAGATGCAAAGTCATGACCTTGAATGGTCTCCATTTATTCCCCATAAATGAATACAATCTAATGAAAACGATAAAAGAACACACAAGCAATTAGACTAGCCTAAATTTGCTTACCCTAATCAAAATTAATTCCTTCTATACATTTAGATACTCAAGTTCAATTTTTATAGCAGTGCTATAGTATAATCAAATCCATAAACTAAGCTCAAGACTTTTTTTTATTGAATTATAATGGAAAACATGAGTGTGTACACATGTGTGTCAGTATAGTGCAGTGAGAATATAGTTGTGATTGTGTGAGGTAAAGGTGAGGTATGAGGGTAGAGTCATCCTTAAGCATATTTTTTTATTAATTTTCTCTTCTTCTTTTCAACAAATGGAAAAAAAAATTAAATCCTAAAGATAACGACACTTTTTGGTGATTTTCAATTTTTCAAACTAAACTTACCAAAAATGAAATGAAAATCAAAGTAACAAGATTAATCACAAACATTTAATGTTAAACAGTGTAAAAGCGAGGGTCCGTTACATTTTTAAATTATAATCATTGTCCTTATGATCTATGAATTAGTAAGTCGTTCATTTTTTGAGAAAATTGTTTGAGCAATATAGGAATAAGAGATGGTTGACATAAATTATTTTTTATATTAAAACTGTCATGTTTTCAATCTAATTAATGGAGAACTTGTTGAATTTATTTTTTCTTAGAGAAAGGACTCATACAGGAAGATCCTCTCATCTTTGTTGATAATATAATTAAATAATAAAAGTGTGCTCTCTCTAGCAACTTAAGCTTTTAAATGAGATGGTCACACACTTCAACATGGTATTAGAGCATGCTGAGGTCCTGAGATCAAATCTCACCGCCATTCAAATCAAAAATATTTTCCACGTGCTTATAGCTACAAGACAATATAATTGTGTTTCATTATGTCAAGGCAAATCACGTCAACGCATTCAAATTATTTTGGTAATTTTTGAGGCAATTTCTTGTCACGACCTGAGAGCATCCCCAAGTCGTAACATGCGTATTCGACCTCTCGGAGGTCTCATACAAGCCCTTAGCATTCATCACACTAGATATGTAAAATAGTGCGGAATTAAAAACTCTTTAAATAAAATCTCATAAGAATCAAAGGTCACTTTTAAAAACATCATTCAAAAGTACACAAGCGGAATACTAAGTCTCTTAGCCATCTTAGACATAAACGTGAAAACATACTAGGGACACGGCCCTTTACAATCAAAAGAAGTCTATTAAGTCTATTACAAGAACCTTATCATAAAACTAGAATAGAAAACTCTTGTCCTCGACATATGAGGACATACCACAAGATCTTGGAAGAACTTCAAGTTCCAAGCTTACTATGAAACCCGCTCACTTTCCGGAACCTACACTTG